AGGTGTTGCCGCGCGTATGCCGCTTGCCTCAACTCCTGCTACTTTGCTTAAGTTATGTGGTTGCCATGCGATGTGCTAATCGCTACTCTTTGATGATATTTTTTTGTTTAAGTAAAACAAAAAAAAACAATGTTAGTTGCATATTATAGGCCAATGAACCTTGCGGCTTTAATGGCAGCGAAAGAAAGAAAAAACAAAAACTTTTATTCGCTATACGGCGGATGAGCCTACTAAGCACAGTTATGGGCTTACATACATATGTACATCGGTAATCGTATGGGCAGCATGTTGATGTGTGTCTCTGGGTGAATGCACCGCTATCTTGGGCTTTACTTGGGGTTTCATTTTCTTCTTGCTAGCGGCTAGTCGCATAAAGGTAAGCTTGTGCGAAAAAATTGTTAAAATTACATATGTAGGACTTTCAACAAATCACGACACTCTTTTCTGGCTGGCTGGCTGGCTGCCTGTCTGACTGACTGACTGATAAAAATCCTAACATACGATTTGCCTATACGTACATACATATATGCATACATGAAGCAGTAACGAGGTGCCATGTTATTTTGGATGGCTACGCGGAGCTGCGCTGTTGGCGGCAACTTGTTTGCTATTGCTGATGTTGTCAAGTTTTCAACCAAATCACTGCGTTGGTGGCGTAAGTGACAGCTATTACGGGTGTCAAATGTTGAGTTGATTTGTGATGGTGGTGTTGGCATATTGCTTAACAATTGACGGATGCAGCTAAGTTAGAAGATTTTAAATTATAATAATAAGGATAAAGATATGGATAAATATAAGGATCAAGATAAGGATAAGGATACGGATAAGGATAAGGACAAAATAAGGAATACAGATAAGGTTAAGGATACGAATAAGAATAAGGATAAGGTTATGGAGAAGGCTAAGGGTAGGGATAAGCATAAACATATAGGATATGGAGAAGGATAAGGATAAGTATAAGGTTAAGGATACAAATAAGGATAAGGTTATGGATAAGGCTAAGGATAGTGATAAATATAAGGATAAGGATAACAAAGATAGTGATAGGCATTAGGATAAGGACATGGATAAACATAAAAATAAAAGAAAGGGTAACGTTTTCGGCATGGCTCATTGCCGTTTTTGGCCCTATTTTTTATTTACTTATTTATTTATTTTAGTCAAATGGAAAACAATTTCTTGCTGCCTATAATACAGAAGAGCTTAAGAACTAGTTATAGTAATTTAATAATGCATTTCGAATTGTTCCAATTGATAGAGATCCAATTGATAGAGATCCAATTTATTTTTCTATATTAAATTTCGTTATACAGTCTCAGTGAAATATCATTATTGCAGCTCATTAAAATTAACATTTTTTTATTTCATATATCTGGCATATTTATATTTTTTTTATAAATTTACAGAACTCCTGCAGACAGAAGCAAACAAAACGAAATAGAAACGAAGCACATCCGTTGAGACGCTCTTGAGTTATGCGATAACACATTTTTTTAATTTTTTTGTAAAAAGATTATTTTCGAAAGATGGCAACCCTGTCAAATTTTTTTTTCATAGATATTAAATTTTTGTATACATCAGGTAACTAGCATTATTGCGGCTTATTTAAAAACAAATTTTTTTTTTGATATTTTAGATATTTGGCAACACCATTTCTCAAATTTGTTCTTTAGGAACCCTCTACAGACAGAAACAAACAAAAAAGTAAAAATAATTAAAATTTACCGGTTGAATGAAATATTCCAATATTGATATCTATCAAAACAAGTTAAGACTTTACATCGAATAAATTTGTAAAAAGGGCTGCCACATGTTTAAAATTTAAATTTAATTTAATAAAATAATAATATATTAGTCTCGAGACTATAAGCAAATTGTTCGTAAAGGTGCCTTTGTTTCTAAATTTTACTACTTAATCCAGTTTGCACGAGTAAATTTCATCATTTTGGAATGAAAGCAATTGTTTTAAAATACATACATATCTATTGACTGCATACATAATTAAGAAACTACACTCAAAGCTATCATCAAATCACAGAGCTAACTAAAGATCAACTACATGCTACGAGCTCCACAATCAAAGCCCTTCGAACGCCTACACAAAAACATGCAATACTGCTCCTTAAAATTTTAAACAATCAACAAAACAAAAATCAAAAAATAAAAATAAAACGTTTTACACAGTGGCCACTTGTTGCACGTACAAGTATTTACTTTTCAAATTACTGGTTGTAAACAACAACTGAAATTTTCGGGTAATTGCATTGTCAACACCTTTCAATTGTTCACTTGTTGTGCAAGGCTTAATATGCATGGAGTATGGAGCATGAAGCACACATATGCACATATGCAGCGTGCTGTATGAAGTTGCTGCTGCTGTTGTTGTTGTTGTTCGACAAGTGTGTGAAATGCAGAAATACGTTTGATGCTTTAGCGACTGCAATGAATCATGAATCTGCATTGTTTTTGTATATTACAATCTCAGCTAGATTTATGTACATATGTAAATGTGTATGTGAGTGGCATTGTTCCCACTTTGTGTGCGGTTTTTACCTTATTGTTTTTGTGTGTTTTGTTTTATATATCCTCCCTATTATAATTGCTATGTTGCATACTCTGCCTGCTGCTTAAAATACTATTTACTTAACACCTTTTACGAGAAAATTGTTGCAACCGTAAATAAATTATTTCAAGGCTATTGCTGTTGTTGTATGTTGTTGTAGCTGTATGCAATTAACAAATTGCATCTTCATTATGTTGGCAGTTGGGTTATTTTCCAATCGGCTAAAAGACTGCAATAATAGATAGCAATTGTGCATGCATGCATACATTGAAATTGGAATGGGACAGGTTTGTACCTTAAGTCTTTTGTTTTCCCGTAATATTTGGTTCGTTGAAATTAGAGATGATAATTTTGGTACTGCGTGAAACTCGATATTTTGTTTTGAATGTACAGATGCCTTGAAGGAAATTGGTTTTTGAAGTGAAACTTCTTTAGCGGCGGTTGGATGGTTGGGAGTAAATTGGCAAATTCAGCGGAAATTGCACGCGGAAATGGTACAACGGAAATGATGCAACGGAAATGATGCAACGGAATTGGTTAGGGCTGAAACAAATGCTTCTTGAGTGTATGCATATGGTATTAATTTAACAAAAACTTGCTAATAAAAGGTTAAAGAATAACACTCAGAAAACGACCAATACAAGAATGAAAGTGAAGGTGAGTACGTACATAGAGTAAGAAAAGGATAAAGGCAAAGGTCAAAATAAAAACAAAAACAAAGATGCGTAAAGATAAAGGAGAAAATGAAGACCAAGGTAAATTTAAACACTTTACTTAAGTGAAGGGGAATATGTAGATGAAGAAAATGATAAACACAAAAGTAAAAACAAAGATAAATATAAAGAAAAGGATGAGAATGAGGATATCGATAAAAGTAAAGATGAAGATAGAGGAATAAAAATTAAAATAAATATTATAGATAAAATGATATAGATGATTAGGTGCCATTTGATCGATAATAAACTATATTTCTATAGAAAATTAACAAAAAATGTATTATGAAATAGAAAAAAACACTGTATTCCGGGTGTATATGCCCTGCAAACCAAAGTTCCCGAAATCTTAAGGAAATCGTTAGGAGTATCTCATTTCTGTAACGATTTTTTCAAAGAAAATTATATGAGGTGGTTGACACGAACTCGTAAAGAAATTTCTGTACGAAAAATAAAGAAAATTCTGGAAAAATTCTGAAAGATGTTCGTCACATAGCAGTATTATTTTCGTTGCTTCACAGATTTTCCTCCGAAATTTCGTAAAAGAATGGAAGTGTGCGTAATTTATTTCATTTTAGAAAATTCGGCAAAATCTCTAATTAAATCTTATCGAATTATTTAAAATTCCTTTACAATGCAGAATACTCTGAAAAAATGGTTTGCAAAGTACATATATATACAGATAGATAAAAGTTTCAATATGTTTGGAAAGCATCACGTCCCTTTTCCAGTAGCCCCAAAATCTCCGTAACAATTTCCAGGACGCTACCGCAAATACTTCCAGAAATATACGGTATGAAAAATTCGATATGTAGGGGTAATGCCACGCTCCTTTAATATACTGAAATTCTGCAGTAGGTGACCAAAAATTCAAAAAAATCGGTACAGCTGTTCTCGAGGTCACCTCTTTTAAAAAGAAGGAACTTCTTTTTATATCATTAGTGTAGGTAACACAGGGCAACACCGATATTGATGAGGCAAATGTTAAAGCTTTTTTTTTGAACTTTTTGTGCTGATTACGAATCCACAAGTATAAAGTTTCCATCAGCTCCTGATTTTAAGAAACATGTGGTGAAAGTGCCCAAAAATCGCGTTATTTGCAATATTTGAGAAGCTCTAGCAATGAAACAAAAAGTGATAGAACCTTTCACTTTGTGCACTCCTCCTTCTGGACACCTTTCCAAAAAAGCAGCAAAAATTCTAATCGGTTATGAAACACAAGAGAAATTTGTTCCAAAACTTTCCCAGCTTCACAACGAATTTTCCACCTTTAGATCGTCTAAAATCATCCTATCATGCGATAAAATACAAAATTTCGTCGAAAAAAACAATTCTTCCGGATTCTTCCGGATTTTTCTGAATTTTCCACTTGGAATTTTATATTTCTCCATTCGAAAGCCATTCAGAAGGAATTGCACAAAAAATTCCATACAAAAAAATAAATTTTCAAATTTTCCAATTTCCCCACTTTCCGGAGGGTCCCATTCTCAATTTATGAATTACTATACATTTTTCACACCACTTTTATGTATATAGATAATGAACGTAAAACTCTAGGTCCCTCCCCTTTTGAGTAACAACATTAAGGCGCACGCCACAAATCAGAGGAGAAACTCTGCCAAATACTAGTATATTACGTAAGCGTCAATCTATAACTAATCGAGAAAACTTCATTTTCGTCCATAATTTTTATTACAAAAGGTCCCAATTTGCTTATGTATCTATGTATGTAAGTGCAAATTTATTCAAAAAAACTTAATAAAGTCGGTTTATTTCTATGTTTATGTTGTTCTTCTTAAGGTGAGAAATGTTTCATCGACAGCCGCACCATACATCTCTCTGTTGGGCGTATCATCATTTGCGCAAACTTTAGTGACTCATACCTATGTATGCCAATCCACGTTATAGCATCGCCGTTTTTCTGTTTTTGATAATAGTTTCCATTCAAGTTGCTATAAAAAAAAGTTTGAAATACGCATGAAAATATTTATAAATGTATTCGTAAATTTGCAACATATACTTGAATTCACCTCTGGTAACACTGTTTGTACCACCAAGCTCCTCTAAAATTTTCCGCGCAATTACCAGCATTATCGCGATCGAATGTTGAGAACTTACTGCCTTCATGATACCTTAAACAGTCTCGAGCATTTCCTGTGTAATTACCAAGGGTTCGCAAAACATAATCTTCCTCTTCGCTACCAATGACGAATAAATCATATTTTGCATAGTACTTTGTGCCATTGGATGCTTCCATTTTTATATACAACTCTTGCTCACAGCTCGCGGTTAGATCGTGCAATTTATCCAAACCAATCCAATAATTGCCCGACAATTCCCCAAATCCTTGCTTATATTGTTGCCAATCTCGATAGAAATCCACTTCCGCACTTAGGCGTCGCTGGATGACAATCCAACCGCCAAAGTCCGTATCCTCATCACACCATACCATAAATGGCTCATCCCCAAATAGCTGAGATTTAATGGTATATATGCCACTTTTACGTGAACCAGCGGCTGCCTCCATGCAATTGGTGGGTCGGCTTGGACTATTTTGCAAGGAAGAAGAATTTTAAAATTTGTAAATTTCGGAACTACAGTGTGGACAACGGTATCACACAGCACATAACCTCTTTTGCTCAGCTTGCAGCTTCAAAATTTGTGCCTGACTTTGATTCACAAGTTGTTGCAGTGATTCCAATTGGGCGCTGAAGTGTTTAATAATGTCTATTTCGAGATCACAGTTGCAGTCGAAAGTATCTTCCAGTTCACTGTTTTGACTCGAACAAGATTTTATTCCGAATATTAATATGAAGTTCAGTAGTACTTGTATACGCGCTTTGAGATGCATATTTGTAACGGGCTGTAAATTTCTAGCGACTCGCACAACCGAGTGGACCAAGCAATACTATATGACTGAAGCAGATTAAAATATATCACTTAATCTGATTATTTAATTTTAGAACTAATCGGATAGCCCCGGTAGCTTGTGCTTAAATGTTTTTCTATAATTTTAATTACAACAACAAATAATAATAATAATACTTAATGATTTACATACAGCGGGATTCTAATGAATCTTTGCTTAATTTGCCGATAATGATGCGCTTGCATTTTACATAGCTATGTACATTCTTATATATAGTACTTAGAAGCAACTATATATGAGTTCAACCAAATATGCGATAAGCATAAAAATATTATAATGGAGGCATTGCTTTTTTCTATTTATACCCGTGCGTACTTGCGCTTCTGCACTTTGGATTTTTCAAACACTGCACTGGGGGGTGGGTATTGACCCACTACGATTCCGGCGCTTTCGCATCTAAACTGTATTTAATCTTATATATGCATATAGCTGAAGAAGCTTACGTTGGCTAAGGTCGTATGGTTGCCCAGAACGCAACAAAAACACCCATTGTTATACCACAAATAATTATAAACAATTCGGTTGTTCACACTTGCCCAATTATTGAATCTCCGCGGCACGATAATACTCAAAATACTAGAGTAAACGGTGGAATTAAATTTCGTTGCCACACATTTGAGCAGCACTTGATGACAGCCAGCTTTGCCCCAAAAAAGCACTACAATAGCCTAGAACCCAAGATTTTTAGTGTCAATGAAGATTCCCTGACAGATGACCCTATCACTGGTCCTTTCACAACCTACTGAGTATAGTAAATATACGGTTGCCAGTCGTACTGATTTAGGAAGGACAGTACTAAATCTTCACTAACTGTACTGAAAATTTTCAATTACTAATTCAGCACGCAAATATCCTTATTTTTTTTTTTGGAAATTTGTGCTGATTTGTACTGACTTTTCAATCTCTATTCCGCTTCGTTCACATCAGTGCCGGATAGAGAATTTGGGTGCGGTAGCGGCGATTGGGATCAACTTGTCAAATAAGGTTAAATAAAGAAGACGCTTAACAAATTTCACCGATGAGTGACCCCTCAAAGTTCAATCCATACGACCTACAAGAATTCAACTGGTAATATAAAAATAATATAACACTGGGGAACAAAGTGAAATTTTAGAAAAACTTAGAGTGTGCATACTCAGTTTTACTAGATCAAAAAAAATAATAATTTTTTTCTCCAAATTTTGAAAACTTATCGTTTTTCGGCCCATATTTGCTTTGTATGCCGCTATACTGAGATTTTTGGATCCTGAAAATCGGTTTTCTCTAGAACACGAATTGATCTAATAAATCTGAGTTTGAGGTTCGTACCCTACAAGAATTGTGTGATGGAAACTAACACATTCTCATTTACCTTACTAACACATTTACAAATTTTGCTTTGGTTAAAAAGAGACAACTAAATAATGCCATAAGTCTGAGAAAGACGGAAGATCACATGTACCCAAATGTTTACATCAGATTTTTCACACTGCCCTTTAGAATTTGATAGAAACTTGTAGGTAGCCAGTGACAGAAATCTCTATCAGTCTTGCCACTCAAATGATTTGTCAAATGATAGTCACTGTTCTTGCAGGGTATGGCCAACAGCTATTGAACCTGATTACATATAAGCACTCTAGGTTTTTTTGTAATGAATGTAGGTATATTATTAATACATATTTCTTACTTACAACGTTTTTCGATTTAAGGATGGAATTCATTTAACAAGTTATTCAGAACTTCCATTATAATTATTTAAGTTGCAAACTCAATTTTGCGCTTTCCTATTTTCGCAAATCGTTCTATTATCATTTCAGTGTCAATTTCAATAGCTTAAGTGTATGTGTAAAACTGCTACAGCTGTCAGCCTGGTATTACACAGCCATTGTTTTAGCCCGCCAAGTGTTGAGGAACTTCTTTCTAAAGTAGCGTTACTAGGAGTAGCTTCAATTGTGGCCTGACTGCAGGTTATCTGATCCGAGTATTTGCAATTGGAATTGATGCAAATATTGATTTTTCGACTTTCAGGCTTTTCCTTTTGAAGTTTTAG